AGCCGGGCGAGGTGGCGGGTGCCTGTAGTCCCAGCTACTCAGGAGGCTGAGGCAGGAGAATGGCGTAAACCCGGGAGGCGGAGCTTGCAGTGAGCCAAGATCCGGCCACTGCACTCCAGCCTGGGCGACAGAGCGAGACTCCGCCTCAAAAAAAAAAAAGAGGAAAAAAAGCCAATTAGATCTTTAAATTAAATTTGTTGTAATTTTTTTTGAGACAGAGTCTCGCTCTGTTGCCCAAGCTGGAGTGCAGTGGTGCAATCATGGCTCACTACAGCCTCAAACTCCTGGGCTCAAGCAATCCTCCTGCCTTGGCCTCCTGAGTAGCTGGGACGAAAGGTGCACTACCATGCCCAGCTAATTTTTGTTTTTGTTTTTGTTTTGTTTTTGAGATGGAGTCTTGCTCTGTTGCCCAAGCTAGAGTGCGGTGGCGCGATCTTGGCTCACTATAACCTCCACCTCCTGGGTTCAAGAGATTCTCCTGCCGCAGCCTCCCGAGCAGCTGGGATTACAGGCACATGCCATCATATCTGGCTAATTTTTGTATTTTTAGTAGAGATGGGGTTTCTCCATGTTGGCCAGGCTGGTCTCAAACTCTTAACCTCAAGTGATCCACCTGCCTCTGTCTCCCAAAGTGCTGGGATTACAGGCATGAGCCACTGTGCTTGGCCTTAATTTTTGTGTATTTATTTGTAGAAATGTGGTCTCACTTTGTTGCCCAGGCTGGTTTCCAACTCTGGCCTCAAGCAAGCTTCCCACTTCAGCCTCCCAAAATGGATATTATTTTTACAGCAACATGCATCTTTCCCCATCAAACGTTTCCAAAGCAGATCCCAGCCATCAACTGCATCTGAACCCTGGGTTCCCAGGCTGTGCCCACAATTCCATGAGCATCTAAGAATGGGCCCCATTTCCTGTCTTGTTCCCCTGTCCTGACCTCACTTAGGAGTATTCAGGGAACTCTTTGGATGCCCCTGTCCACCCATTCACCTGAGTACATAATGTAGGTTGCCCGAGAGGTAGGAGTAAGACAGGTGCAGCTTCTGGAGGTGGCCCAGCCTGGTGAGCTGTGAGAGGAAGTAGCTAGAGGGCCGCTCGCCCCGTGAGGAGAAGGCCCAGTTGTAGTAGATGAGTTTGAGGCTGCGCAGGTTGAAGATCCTTCCCAGCTGTGTTGCAGATAGGTTTGGATCTGACAATGCCCAGAACCAGTCAAACCAGTCAAACACCTCCAGCTCCTGGATGAAATCCAGCTTGAGTGTCTTCAGGATCCCCAGCAGACTGTGGAAGGGCATCTCCTCAATGTGCAGCTTCCTACAGCAGAGATGCAGGGCCCCGTGGCTCTGTTCCACTTTCGTCAGGAGGCTGGAGAGGAACTTATCTAACTTGAAGGGGCCTCTCAGGAAAAGATCAATGTGTATTTCCACTGCTTCCCATGGCTGCTTTGGTCCTTTTTTCATATTCTCTGTTGGCTTGGGCCTGGCCGCGGCCTGGGGCATCTCTGCCTTGACTGTTGATGGTAACCAAAATGGGAACTTGGCCAAGGCTTCAGAAGCCCCTTTACTGTGGACTTGCTCAGAGTCCAGGGTGAAATCCAGCATCCTCAGTTCTGACTTCCTGTGGGGAGACAGGAGTGAGGAGATGCTGGAGAGTCCATGTGAGATGAGCGGCAGCAGTCCTGGGCCGCTCCCCAGACCCCAGTACCAGCTCGCCTCGCCTCTCCACTCCAATGGGCTTTTCCTCCCTCACCCAGGCTCCTTGCTAGCCCCTATTCCCCATACAGCTCATACCACCACACCTAGAAGGTAAAAAGCCCTCTCCTTAAAGCCTTGTAGCTGTACCATCAACCACTTAACTCAGAAACATATAGTTTCCCCACTTGTCCCCCGAGGCGATTTAACGCTCCCCTCCCCTGGATCTCAGCTCACCCTCCCTCTGGCTCTGAGCTGAGGTCTTGCTCCCAGCATCCCCCTTACCTGGGACAAGCCCTGTGGGCAGAAAAGGCCTCCAGCCCATCCACCACAGCTTGCAGGCTGTCTTGGTTGGGCCACTGCACTATCAGAGAGCCCAGACGGAGAAAGGGGAAGGGCCAGGCCTGCACCAAGGCCTTCAGAGCCTTTCTGTGCCCCTTGGCAAATGCAGCAGTGAGTAGTGGCGGGAAAAGGTTCACTGTGAGCTGTTCCAACACCAGTAGAACTGAAGCCTCATTGCTCAGCAGGCTGTGGGCTGCAAGTTCCAAGAGCCTGAGAGGTGCTGGGTGGTTCACCTCCATGGACCTGGAGCAGAAGAAGGTAGAAATCCTCAGAAGACTAATGGCTCAGCATCGCTCCCAGGCCAACGCGGGAGATGCAAGCCTTTTGCATCTGTCACAGAACCAAATGCTGGCTCCTCCCGCCATTCAGGACCAAAACCCCAACATTCAGGTCTTGTAAGCCTGAGACCCTGAAGCCCTCAGGCCCTGGGGACATGGGATCCAGAACCTCAGGGGTTTAGATCTATTCCTTGCCAGGCTGTAGAGGCTTTGAATTGACCCACACTTTCCTCTTCTGCCTTCACCATTAAGATCATGAACACATAACTGAGGACACTGTCCCCAAACTCCACATCAATTCTCCCAAAGCGTATGTAGATTCTGAGCAGTTCTCATCACTTCCAGTTTTACCAAGCCATTATCTCTTGCCCCTATTACTGCAGTGGCCTTCTAACTTGTCTCTCTGCTTCTGTCCTTGTGCACCCTGTGGTCAAACTCAGATCATGACACTCGTTTCCTCAAAACTCTAGTGGCTTCATTTTCACTGTGAATACAATCCACCCTGCAGCTGCGCCTCAGAGTCTAGCATCCGAGTATCTCAGGGTCCACCTCCTGTCACTCCCCTCACTATTCACTCTGCACCAGCAACCCACACTGGACTCCATTTCTCTTCTCAAACACCAGCAACGCCCTGCTTCAGGGCCTTTGCGCTTCCTGTTTCCTCTGCCTAGAAGTGTCTTCTCCCAAATATCCTCATGGCTGGCCCCCTTACTTCATTCAGGTTTCTATTAAAATTTCACCCTGAGAGGTCTTCCCTGACCACCCAAGTAGAATAGCACTCTCATCCCTTAATTACAGCTTTATCTTTCCTAACCTGATTTACAGCGCTTCTTCTATCACCCCTTTTCTGTTTCTGTCTCTCTTACACACACACACACACGCACGCGCACACACATAAATGCACACACTCGCATATTATCTGTCTCCTCTCTGCTAAATTATAAGCTCCATGAAAAAAGGGGCTCTATCTGCTTTCATTACTGCTATAGTCTGAGTGATAAACATAGTTCCTGACATACACCAGACAAGCAGTATATATTTTAAGTGCATTTCAAGAGCAAGTTTGCACAATAGATGCTTACCACAATCCCACTGATGGAGTTGAGGGTAATATGGAATGGAGGATTTTTTTTTTTTCTATGCTCTCACAGAGCATCAGGTTCAGGTTAGTTATGGATTCTTTCAACTGCCCAAATGCCTCCTTTTTTCCGTGAAATGCGGGAGTGTAGACTCCCGTGAAATGCGAGTGTAGACCTCATCCCATCACTTTCCACAGTCCACCACAGAGCAAGGCTTTGTGTAAGGAGGGGGAAGTTCTAGACCTGCACTGTCTGATGCGGGCGCCCCAAGCCACATGTGGTTACCGAGTACTTGAAATGTGGCTAGCGTGACTAAAGGACTGAATTTTAAATTAAATTAAATTCTAATTAATTACAATCTAAATAGCTTCACGTAGCTAGATGCTACACTTTTGGACAGCAGCATTCTAGAATCTATGCTAGTCAGAGACAAGAAACATTCATTTAGTCTCACAAGCTATGAAATCCATTTGCATGAGGCCACTATGGCCTTGGTAATAAACTGGGCGAGGACAAAGGACAGTATAAGAAAGGACAATTATTGGCCAATCATACATTGGAAGCTACCTAGCAAAGGCTTAAATACTAGCAAATCAAATCAAAGGCCTGACACATTAAATCTATAAATATCTCTCACAAATAGTGATGAAGTACAATTGAGCAAGAATGGTTAATGTTAGGTTTATTAATTATTAATGTCAATGCATTTGGGAAAATCAAAGAAGAAACAGAAGGGAAGCTTCTGAACCTGATACTTAGTAGTGGTGTTTTATAAACACTGCCTTTTTTTTTTTTTTGAGACAGAGTCTTGCTCTGTCACCTAGGCTGGAGTGCAGTGGCACAATCTTGGCTCACTGCAAGCTCCGCCTCCTGGGTTCATGCCATTCTCCTGCCTCAGTCTCCCGAGTAGCTGGGACTACAGGCGCCTGCCACCACGCCCAGCTACTTTTTTTGTATTTTTTGTAGAGACGGGGTTTCACTGCATTAGCCAGGATAGTCTTGATCTCCTGACCTCGTGATCTGCCTGCCTCGGCCTCCCAAAGTGCTGGGATTACAGGCGTGAGCCACCGCGCCCGGCCAACATTGCTTTAAAAGTCAGAAACAAGATGAAGATGGTGTGGCCACCATGAGAGTGTGCCCTGCACCTCCAACTCAGGAAATGCACCTGAGCAAGGGCAGCGGGAATCCCTGGCAGCCTTAAAGCCCAAGTCATACCACCACATGCTGCTCACCAACAATGACTGAGGACAGATTAGTTTCTGGGAGACACCACTCCTGTGACAACCACCTTTGGCTTGAGGACTCCCTTATGGCTTTGCCAAATCTTCCTGAGTGCACACATTTCCACCCAACCTTCCCTCCAGCTCTGCTTCACCAAACACAGCGACGCAGTTCTGTGTGGTCTCCACGCCTTCCCTGCTCACTCCTCAATGCCCCTTATAGGGAGCTCCCCTAGTAAAATCCTTGGATGTTTTTGCATCTTGGTATCTGCTTCTAGCAGGATTTTGATGGAGTTTAGGATGTGCCTTACCAAAATACAGCAACTTAGCATACTGAGTATTTTAAGCTGAAGGAATTTGAGAAACGGCATGGGCAGGCAGGATTTTCTGACCTTCCCCTGTAGTAGGTATAAGACCCTCCTGTGAGAGGTGCTCCCCTTATACCAGAAGGAAAGGTATATCCTTATTTCCAAAGACGAAGGTTTGCCAAGAGGGATCTGAACACATAGGCCCGCTGTTTCGCCACTTTATTAAACTTGGCTCATAGTCTCATACTCCTTTTGTCTTATCATATTTCTCCATGACTAATCAAAAAATTGTTTTCTCTCTATATATAAACATACATATATACATATATATAATGTGTGTGTGTGTGTGTGTGAGAGAGAGAGAGAGGAGCTGTATCATGGGTAATTTTGTTGATGTTTGAATTAGAAACAAGCATGCACACTATCAACATTGTCTGGGAAAGTTGTAGCCAGTGCAATAAGACACATAACAATGGGGCTGTCTATGGCAATAAAAAGAGGCAAATAATTATGTACATAGTGTAGGAAAAAAATGGTGGTGTGGCTCAGAATGTCACCCCAAAATACGGCACTTAGAAGGTCTCTCTCTGACTTTTCTCTGCCTTTCTGTGTGAGAGCTAGTCATAAAGGAATTCTCTGACCTTCCTCTCCTGAAAGTAGGTTGTTAGACCCCCATGTGACAGGTGTCCTGTCCTATACCAGGAGGAAAGAAATGCTACACAGAGGGGCCAAGAAGAATCTGAACGAACAGGCGTTGTTAAGTTCTCCCCAGCTTATTACCATTAGACCACAGGCTTTTTGTCCAATCATACTTGTACATGACTGTCCATCCTTCATCAAACCTAAGCATAGATATATACAGATAGTCAGGTGCAGTGGCATGCACCTGTAGTCCCAGCTACTTGGGAGGCTGAGGCAGGAGGACTGCTTGAGCCCAGGAATTCAAGGCCAGTCTGGGCAATATAGTAAGACCCCAGTCTCTAAAAAAAAAAAATTAAATTAAAAACTAAAGTTCTCCGGCCGGGCGCGGTGGCTCAAGCCTGTAATCCCAGCACTTTGGGAGGCTGAGACGGGCGGATCATGAGGTCAGGAGATCGAGACCATCCTGGCTAAAATGGTGAAACCCCGTCTCTACTAAAAAATACAAAAAACTAGCCGGGCGAGGTGGCGGGCGCCTGCAGTCCCAGCTACTCGGGAGACTGAGGCAGGAGAATGGCGTGAACCTGGGAGGCAGAGCTTGCAGTGAGCTGAGATCTGGCCACTGCACTCCAGCCTGGGCGACAGAGTGAGACTCCGTCTCAAAAAAAAAAAACAACAAAACAAAACAAAACAAAAAACTAAAGTTCTCCTTGGGTCTTTGAGTCTTTATTTCTGAAGGTTCCTGTTCACGTAAAACTTTGATAAATTTGTTACAGTGTCCTCTTGTTAATCTGCCTTTTAAAAATAGAGGTATCAGCAAAGACCCTTGAGATGGGTGAGGAAAAGCTATGATTTTTTTCTCCTCCCCAATGGAAAGTAATGGATCCTCTGTAATGTACCCTTCTGGGTTATCAGATTTGAGCCCTGTTCATTATCTTTGAGCTATTTTGTAACTTTATAAGTTGTAGGTAACTGATAGACATATAAATTCTGTCTGGTCTGGTAAGGATTTTCCCCTAACTTCTACCTGTGGAAAATTTTGTCTCCATCTGAAATTCATCTCAACATCCCTTCATGTCATAGAGATGTGTGCTGGCTTAACCCTTCTTTAACAGCTGCCTGGTACTTCATATTATATGACCAAAATAAATTCTTTTTTTTTTTTTTTTTTTTGAGATGGAGTCTCGCTCTGTCGCCCAGGCTGGAGTGCAGTGGCCGGATCTCAGCTCACTGCAAGCTCCACCTCCCGGGTTTACGCCATTCTCCTGCCTCAGCCTCTCGAGTAGCTGGAATTACAGGTGCGCGCCACCTTGCCCAGCTAGTTTTTTTTGTATTTTTTAGTAGAGACGGGGTTTCACCATGTTAGCCAGGACGGTCTCGATCTCCTGACCTCGTGATCCGCCCGTCTCGGCCTCCCAAAGTGCTGGGATTACAGGCTTGAGCCACCGTGCCCGGCCAATAAATTTTTTAACACATGTTCATTTTTATATCTGTATAAAGTCACAATTCTACTTTTCTGAAAATTATCTTTTAACCATTGGAAGCTAAAAAGGATAAAATAGGAAACAGCTAATATAATTAATAGGAGTATTTCTGCTGATGTGACTGCACAAGAGTGCCTAGTATTTCCAGCAAGAACTGAGAAGTAAATGTATAATAGCAGAAGTAATTTAGACATATGAAATAAACCATTCACTCACTTTTTTTCTGTCATC